CATGGTTTATGCCTGTGTCCCCCAGGCTTCATGAGTTTGCATTGTGCATTTGTGATGGTTCATTGTGTAGTACATGGATTAATGGTGTTAGTGATCCACCCACATAGGGGTGGAGCCAGAATGTAATAAAATGGCAGGAAGAAAGTGTGTCTTGCTTTTTGCTGGTTCCTGCTTGCTGTTTGCAGCTCAGCCATGCCCACCTGCCTTGGAGCCATCTGAGTATGGACTGAAACCTCCAAAAATGAAGAAATAAACCTTTCCTTTCTCAACTTGGGCTTCAGGTATTTTGTCTCAGAAACAAGTAAAAAATAACTAAGACAGTAGTTAATGAAGGTCTCATGTTTGCTTGGCCTTGGATGTCCTGCAGAAAAGTCTATCCTCTGAAGAGATAGTGCAATGTAAAAGCTTGGCTGTGCAGGAAGCTAGGATCAGTAACATCCTCGAACAATTGCTGGCTATACTGGTAAATGACTACTGTTATGAACTGATGGACTATGATGAGTTTAAATTGGAGTTCTCCTCAATGCTTTCCCATCTTAATGTGGCCACTCATCCTGGGAGTCAAGAAAACAAAAAAGAGAGATGTTGGAAAGCGTTGAAGATGAATACATGTGCAGGGCTGTGGTGTGGCCTGGGCATGATTGAACTGAGAATGAGGAGACAACACAAGGCATAAGATTGGCCAAGCTGAGGCCACCTGGAGACTTCCTGGATAGTTTTTCTTAATTAGAATCATCTGTTGCTCTGTGGGTTCCTTGAACCTCTCCCAGGGGCCTGCTCAGGTTTTTACCATTGTCCACTCACTTTGTTGCTTGCTCTGATTAAATATGGGCTGCCTAGTGACAGGTTGCTGGCTGATTAGCAGAGTTATGAGTTCTGAAGATTTCACTCTTCATGTTGCCCTCAAGACAATGCCACTTTTCTCATTCTTTTGGTCCTTTGCTGTGCACTTTTTTGGGGGATAGATATTGAGGCATAAGCCCAAACAGAAAATTAACTTCCAGATAGGATAACTGTAAGTTTCCTGAAAATTTTGTTGCATGTAAATTTTCTTTACCTGTAGATGGAAGTGTTATTATCGACAAATATATTGCTAACTTAACAACATATGCTACCTTATTAACATATTGAGAGGTATCAAAGTGATTTCTCAGAAGGCATGATTATACACCTCTTTACATCATTGTGAGTATTCTACATAACTTTTCTAAGTCAGTACTTATAAGTGATATTGGTAGATAATAAAGGAGGCTTCCATCAACTAGCTAAGTACTATGTAACATGAGTCTCGGTGTTTTAGCAGTTCATTTGTTTTAACCATGAATTCCTCACCAGATGACACTTATGCCTGCTTGGCAGAGAATGGATTGTACAGGAAATTAAGTGGTTTTGATCTCCAAAGTATTGCTGGAGTCAAACTGAAACAGGTAAACACTAAAAACAGTCAGGGTTTTCATACATTAAAAACTCATTTACATAATTAGTTGAAGAATGAGTTGACGCATTTAGAAGATTATTCAGAACATACAGCCAGCTGAATTATATTAGATATTCATTTCTTTACTCTTATACATGTAAAAAATACCTGACTTACAGAATTTAATATAAATATATTCTTTATCTCATTGTTTCCATGAGGGAAGTTTGCTTTTGACTGTTTCCAAAGCATAAATATCTTGGAGAAAAGTGCAAAGAAAAGGTAACTTTTTTATGAGGTCAAGGAGCCAGAGAACAGTTTCAGAACCTGAGAGGAAGGATCCCGGGACCAGATTTGGTTCATGGGTTCCCGACATACACGGGTGCAGTGTATACATATAGAAGCAATCATAATAATATCCTACACATTTCTGAAGCCAAAAAGGTGTTAAAAATGGATCACCAGGCTTTAGGGAATATATGACTTCTAGGAATGTTAAAATCCTGAAGAGCTGAGTGCCAGTTAGTGACAAGGGAACTATACGGCAAGGGGAACTTAGAGTGTGAAGTCCTTGGGTATCCCTGCCTCCTCAGAAGGAAATGTTTAATTGGATAAGGAATTTGGTTCCATTTCAGCAATAATTGTCACCTCCGTGCTTGGCAATATGATTTCTTTCAGAATTCAGCATTTTTATGAGTCTGAATGAGTAGCAAGCTTGTCTTGGAGAATTGGTGCTTGCTTTTATTTCATCTTTACTCTGTTGCAGACCATTACTATCATTTAAATGTAATGTCTTCACTTTACACAGTAACTGTGCTCCTTTTATGTTCACATACTGGGTTTCTAGGTGGAAAATTAGTAGAAATGTGTGAAAATCATGAAAATGAAGTCTGTTCCCTCTAACACAGACTTCTGACTCTCTGTTCTGTTGTGTTCCGCACTGGCCTGTTCTCAGAATATTTTCTGACATCAGTGGATTTTTTATTCCTGGAGGATTGAACCTGAATCCTGAAAACGTTTGCAGCCCATTATGGAAAGAGTCCACGGATCCTTGAAAGAAAGCAGGGGTAGTCATGAAATCACAGGGATAAATAGGAAATTTAGAGAAGACCTAACACCACCACTTCTCAAAATTTAATGAGATCGAATGGGAAATAGTACTTCTCAATTCATTCCTGGAAGCAAGCATTACCCTGATACCAAAACCAGAGAACAATCCAAATAAGAAAGAGAATTACAGACCATTCTGCCTAGTGAACGTTGAAGCAAAAATCATCAGTAAGATACTGGCAAACAGACTGCAGAATATCATCAGGAAGATCTTACACCATGATTAAGTGGAATTATTCCCTGGGAAGCAGTGGTGGTTCAACATACATAAATCCATACATATAATACACCGTATTGACAAATCCAAAAGCAAAAATCATTTGATCATTTCAATAGATGCAGAAAAAGATTTTGACAAAGTCCATCACCTATTCATAATAAAAAAAAAGCCTACGAAAGTTGGGAGAGATGATCTTTATCTCAATCTGATAAAAGCCTTTTATTACAAACCAACAGTCAACCTCATACTCAGTGGACAAAAACTGAAAGCTTTCACTCTAAAATCAGGAGCAAAACAAGGATGTCTACTGTCTCCACTCTTATTCAATATACTCCTGGAAACTAGCTGGAGCAATTAGACAAGAGAAAGAAATAAAAGGAATAAAGATAGGAAAGGAAAATCTTAAACTATCATTATTTGCAGAAGACATGATACTCTACTTAGAAGACCCTAAAAATTCCACCAAAAGACTTCTAGTTTAAGAAGCAAATCCAGTAATATAGCTGGTTACAAAGGCAACACTCAGCAATCAATAGACTTCATAAACAAGAATAAAAAACTCATGGAAAGAGAAATCAAGGAAACAATAACTTTTACAATAGCGTCCAACAAAATGGAATCAATCTAACAAAGGATGTAAATGACCTCTACACTGTAAACTACAGTACTCTCAACAAGGAGATTGAAGAAGATATTCTAAAATGAAGAGCTATCCCATAGTCTTGGGTAGGGAAATTCAATATAGTGAAAATGACCATCTTCCAAAGGTATGGTACAGATTCAGTGCCATCCCAATCAAAACCCCGCAGCATATCTCAAAGAATTACATAAAATAAATCCAAAAATTCATCTGGAACCAGAAGAGACCGAGTGTAGCAAAGGTAATCCTGGGCAACAAAGGCAAGATAGGGTTCATCAAATCCCTGACTTAAAATTATACTATAAAGATATTGTGATTTTAAAAAAAGGTGTGGTACTGACAAAAAAAAAAAAAAAAAAAAAAAAAACCAGACCCAAAGATCAAAGGAACAAATTAGAAGATGGAGAAACAACTCCAGACTTCTAAACCATCTTATCTTTGGCAAAGGTGCCAAACAGTCATTGGAAGAAAAGCAGCCTCTTTAATAAATGGTGCTGGAAAAACTGGCTCTATACGTTCTGAATATTATCTTTCAACATGTATTAAGCTAAGATCAGAATAGATCAAAGATCTTATATTAAAACAGAAACATTAAATCTGCTGCAAGATAGAGTAAGTAAAACTCTTAAAAACATTGATGTAAGCAAAGATTTTATGAAGAAAACTTGGATTGAACAGCAAAAATCAAACAGAATTAAGAGAGAATCTCACCCTACTGAAAAACTTTTTATCAGTAAGAGAAATCACTAACAGAGTGAAGAAACAACCCACAACATGGGAGAAAATGTTTGTCAACTGTTCCTCAGACAAAGTATTACTATTGAGCGCACAGAAAACTAACAAAATTTCAGTCTTCCCAGATTTAAAGACCCAATCCAAAAATGTGCTTCTGAGGTGAGATACACAGTTCTCAGATGAAGAAATAGAAACAGCAAATAAATATGTGACAAAATCTTCTGCATCATTCGTCATTTAACAATTGCAAATTAAATAATACTGATATGTCACCTTGCCCCAGAAAAAATGCCTACTGTCAAGAAATCAAGCAATAATGAATGCTGGAGGGGTTGTGAGGGGAAAAGCAACCCTTCTCCATTGTTGGTGGTAAAGCAACCACTGTGGAAATCAGTGTGGAGATTCCACACAAACTAGGTCTACAGGTCCCACTCAACTCAGCTATTCTCCCTCTGGGTATCTACCCAAAAGAATAAAAATCATCATACCACAGTGATATATGTGCACCCGTGTTTATAGCAGCACAGTTTGTGGTAGACAGATATTGGATGGAATGCACGACCTCTAGCTTGCCAGGCAGGCGCTTAAGCTAAATCCCTGGACCACTTTTTTTTTACTTTTTAACTTTCAAATAAAATGGGTTTTGGAGAAAAAACAAGGACTGAGGTAAAGACTTTCAGTGCAAATACTCCTCAGACGAGCTGAGATCAACATTCCAGAAAACAGCCAGCTCCAGAAGCCTCCACCATCTTTCATTGGGGACCCACAGTTACAGGGTGGATTTTTTTTTTCTGTAATTATTCTTGGTGGGGAAGGCAGGCAGGAGAGCAGGAGCCAATCAGTGATGAAGAGGCTGGCTGTAAGAACTGTCCAATCAGGCGGGCCAAGGTAGGCGGTCTCTTCCGGTGTCCTGGCATCAATTGCAAGGCCAGGGCAAAAAAGGGAGCACTAGATGTTTGCTACACCACTATTTTTTGATTCTATTCTCTGTGGACTGCTTTGAAAGAACCTGGGAGACCTCCAAACTACGGAATGGTGATGTTATGGGATGGGAGTAGTGAAACGGGGTGGAATCCTGTTAAGACCAGTGAGAAGGGGCTGGGGGTTTAGCTCAGCGGCATAAGCGCCAGCCTTGAAAGCAGGCAGTCATGAGTTCAATCCCCTGTACCGATAAAAGGGAAAAAGACCAAAAAAAAAAAAAAAACCAAACAAACAAACAAACAAACAAAAAAAAAAAACAAGTGGTGAGAAGCAGCTGTGCTGTCTAGAGCCTGTGTGCTTAGCCTCAGACCCTGAGGTCCTCTAGTGCTAGCAGTGAGTCATCCTCTGTCCCTGTTACCTCTCGCTGGCTCCAGGACAGTTCTGGGTCCCTAGAATGCTGTCGCCACTGTGATACCACCAGGCCACAATGCCATTTTTGAAATCGCCTGCTGCCCTTGCTCCTCCAACAGTCTGGGCCCAGGAAGGGGCATGAGGAGACCTTGATTCTGATGTGGTTTCAAGCTGGGTGCAGCTGTAATAAGCTAGGTCTCTGCTCTCATTCCTGTCAGCAACAGATATGAAAAACAGAAGTTTATAAATGTCTGTGCTGCAGGACCTCATAGCCACAACTGCTCTCCTTAAACTTACGCAGTTATGTATTTTGTGATCGCCTAAATTTATACTATGTTCTCATATTTCCATGCTCATGAAAGGTGGAGGCAAAGGTTCTGAGAATTCAAAGATGTGTAGTGATGTGCCTCAGTGGAGGAAGGCTTCCCAAACACCGGATGAACTGCTGTGTATTATCCAGAACAATGCAAAGAATTTCTGAACATACTTTATGTGACACATGTGCTCATAGATGATGTTTGTGAGAACAGCCATAGAGGTTTAAATTTTGAGAAAAAAGAAGCAGATATAAATGTGTCATCAAGGGCAGGATAAAGTGTGTTTGCTAAGGACAAATTCCAGAAAGGGCTGCCTGTTAAATTCTCATTGAAAAATGCCTAAATTTGGTCATTTGCATGAACATATACACGTGATATCCTTTTGAATGGAAAGGAATATGGGTGTCATCTCTGAATTAAGAGGTGATTGAATAGCTTGGTTGATCATATACATTGTTGAAATATGGAAATGCTCTGCAGTAGACTTTACTAAGTGTGTAAAGGAGATGCCAAAATTGAAATTGTGCAGGGATATCAATAGTTTAGTCATGAAGGGTTTTCTGCTTAGGGTGGATCAGACCAGCATGGAAAGGATGTGGAAGTGACTGGCAGGATACAGTGTTCCAATAGCAGGACATACAACAGAGAGGGTCTTCCCTGAAAGTCAGGTAGTTCTTAGGGTAAGCATGAAGTTAAAGTTGTCTTCTGATTTCTTCCTTGAGGTGAATAACACCAGCTCTGGTATGAATCAGTATTCCACATCCTTGTCAACCCATGAATTCTGTGTTCTTCACTTGAGATCTAATTTTGATTATCTCTAATTATGACCCAGTGTCATGAAGGTGAAATTTGAATTTTTTTTGTAACAGGGATCAAACTCATGATCTCAAGTTTCCTAGGTAGGTGTTCATGCTGCTGAACTAAATACCCAGCTCTGAAAGTGTTTTCTGCATACTATGTGTGATATCAATATTGTTCCTCAGAAAATGTTGAATATTGTGGAACTTTTCTATATTATATGGATATAAATTTTAAAGCAAACCAAAGGTGTCGTATGCAGTCACTTTTCAAGTTTCACATTGTCTGTGGGGTGTCTCAGTCAGGGTTTCTATATTTCAGACAGCTCTGTAACTTAGGCTAGCCCCAAACTCAAGGAAGTTCTCCTGCATCAACCCCCCAAGATATATTTCTTATATTTGAATGGAGAGTGATCACTTGGTGACACTGAGCTCTAATTTGAAACTTGTACCTGGTTTCATTGTTTATACATTGTTTACATACAGCAGTTTTCCATGAACTTTTGAGTTATTATTTTTGTACCATATTTGGTGTTATTTATGTTTTGTTCTATGAAACCAAATTTAAATATCAAAATGCTGCTTAAGTATATTAAGAACAAAGGACTCAGTGGCCTAAATGAGATTTGAAGAGATATCATTGTTAGTACATCAAAGTAATTCATGAGATATTTGTCTGCCTCTGTGTTTTATGGATGCTGGTCCTGCAGGCTCTAACTATGAGCTCTGCTTTAGAGACAGTGCATAGGGACTCTTGCAGTGACTCAGCATAAGAATCAGCGCTAATATTTGGCTGTTACATTAGCTGTGAGTTGCAATAGAGCATTAAATTTGCTGTCTCACAAAATATGTATATACCAAAAATTAATCCCCAAGATGTGAAATTAAGATTTGGAGAAATCAGTCTCCATTCAGCTGTTTTGTTTGGTTTTATTTTTTAATTTAGTTTTGTTTCATTGAGACAATTTTTCTCTATGTATATCAGCTAGATTTGAACCCTTTATGGAGCACAGAATTGCCCTAACCTCAAAGCAGCACTCCTGCCTCAGCCTCTTGAGTGTTCAGATTATACATATGTGTGTTTTTACCCTAGAAAATATTGAGGCTTGTAACTTAGCTGTGTTGTAGCTTGGCATAATGGATGCCATCTTGACCTTTGAATTAAACTAGTGCCCTGTATTTCACCCAGAAAAATGGAAAATCACTCAGTGTTGAAGTCCCAGGAGAAAAGCAAAATGAGCTGTACCCAAAGAAAAAAATTAACCTGCTCAACAAAAGAAGCAGAATACAGTTGTCATCGAACAATTATTATAAGATTCTAGCTAAATGATTTCCAACAGGATCTTTTTGTGATTCTATCTTTTAAAACATCTGTAACTTTCCAGTTCAGAGCCTCTTGCTTAGATCCTGAAATGGGGGTGGGGGTTCTGTATACAGGTGGTCCTGAGACCAGCTATGAAATTCCACATTTCTCAATTGGGTTCCTACATTGGCTTCCTATATTATTGTTCACAAACTCAATTCAAACTGCAGAAACCTTTACTGACACAAGCAAACCTCAGGATTAAATGACAGTGCCACTGAAAAGAAAGAATAATTGTGAAAAAGAGAGGAGAAAAAAAAAACAAACACCATGTGCTATAATGCCCACCTCTTTTCCCCAGCAATGAAGAGGCTGAAACAGGAGAATGGCCATGTATTCAAGGACAGCCTAACCTGCATAGTGAGTGCAAGTCTGGCCAGAACTCCAAAGTGAGACTAGGTCTTTAAAGCAAAAAACTAAATTGAAAAAAAAAAAAAAAACAACTACAAAGAAGACAGAAAGACTATTGAAAAGAAACAAAAATAGAGCTGAGTGATATTTGACTTATGTAAAATGGGAATTATTGAATGATGCTGGCAGAGGAGAGAAGGCCTTGTAGTGCCATGCAGTGGCATTCAGGAGACAGTGACAAACACAGACTTAAGAATGGCACCTATTGTGCTACAGCACAACAGTGACCTCCTTCCCCCAATACTTTTGCAGTTCACTAGAATGAGGACTTCTAAAAGCTCATGGAAATGTTAAACTCAGGGCAAACAAACAGCTTGAAATTCAGGCTTTGGAACATTGCCTTTAGCAGACATTTCATATTTAAATTGAGATAAGAGAAATATAATCCTGCCCTGCTTGATATCAAATGCACCCTTTAATGGCTGACAACATTGAGAAATGAAGTCACAAACCAAAAGAAGTTCAAAAATTGTCTTAGAAAAAAAGAGAGAATAGCTCTGAATTTTCAGGAGTGGTCTTCAGTGTTTTGGCCACAGTCATATTGTCACGGGTCATTTATACAGGATAGTCACAATGTGGGCAAACTGTGGGTCTCAAACTACAATCAACCTATAAGCTTATAGGTGCTTAACTAATATTATTCATCAGGGGAACAAGTCAGCCAGAAATGGTATGTGGAAAGAGCCAAGGCATTTTGTGGGAACAATAGAACTATTGTTCTGGTCATTGATTATGGTAATTGATGCCTATCTGAACTTCCTGGAGGAGGTGGTGGTAACTTTAGTACATTTCAAGCTGTTGTTTTTCTTTTCAGGAGCATGTAGACCTGGTCACTGCATCTTCACCTTCAGGTCTGGCTTTCTTCACCTGTGCCTGTAGCAGTGATGGTTGTATTTAGTTTTTTGCATTGACTCTTTGAGGTTCCAGTTCCTCTCTGATTGTATATCAATTTCTGTCTACACTGACAACCTTTGCTAAAATCACAGTAGTATTTGAATGAATAAAGTGAAATATTCATTAATACACACCAGGGATTTAGCTCAGCAGGCAGAAACACCTGCCTGGAAAGTGCTAGATTGTAACTTTGATCCTGGTACCTAAAAAAAAAAGTAATTTAAACTGCAAGGAAAGAAAATAATTTCATTTGTGAAAATGTAGCTTTACAAAATTTATACTAAATATGGCAATGGCAAATTAAACATTGTTAATAGTCATATTTAGTATCTAAAGTTGTTGGGGCTGGGGATTGAGCTCAGTGATTCAAGGAGCTGCCTGGAGAGCACAAGGTCATGAGTTCAATCCCTCATACAGAAAAATAAAATCACAGTTGTCAACGATACAGTGCTATGAGCACATTTATTGAAACTGATACTTGGTATTTAATAGGCTCAATGTTTCTTTTGTGATCTATGAAATACCTGCAGATAACATGGCAACTACAGTTAATGATATACTATCCCCTATAGGATTGCTATTTTCTGAGTTGTTTTTATTTTTTGTTTTCCCACAAACTTGAAAGTTGAAAATGTTGGCTGATGCTAGCTAGAAACACTGTGATAATCATTTTTTTTCAATTTAATGATATATTTCCCTATATCCATTAAGAACATTTTATTTGCTACAATTGCTCCAAGTCAAATTGATAAACAATTCTTAAAGTTACAGGCAGCTGAGTTAGAAATACAGGCAGCCATACTGTGATAAAGTGGAATGAAATTCCTGACCTTCTAAGAATGTCTGGTATGAGTTTGTGTTCTCTAAAATGCAAGAATGAATTTTAGGAACAACAGAGTTGAAGAGCAGAATATATTTATT